CTATCTATCTATCTATATATATATATATTATAGATAAAACTTATATATTTTTAAAATAACTCATATTATTGTTTAACAATGTCTTTTAAACAATATTGCAGCAATCTTTTTGAAGAAATAGCTGGTAAAAAATAACTAACCAAAGCAGTTTAAGGAACTTATCACATGGAGCTCTTTTTGTTTATTTCAGCAGCCCAACGTGCTCCATGAAAAGAGATAATATTAATAATAATAATAATAATAATAATAATAATAATATTAATAATAATAAAAGTAGTAGTAGTAGTAGTAATAATTTAATAAATACAAATTAAAAATGCAGAAAATAAAACATCTTCGAAAAAAAATCATAAAACTTCAGTCAAAACCCCTTGTCAGCCAGCCGATGATATGAATAAATAAAAATATATAAAATGTACCTGATGATGATCTTGGTGGATTCGAAGAAAAATCCAGAATCAAGAATCCAAAGAGAAGCGAATCAAGTCTAAAAACCAAACAAAACATTCACACTTGGTTAAACAACACGAAATGTCGCGATTTATGTCTATAAGGGACAACTTAACTTACCTAATGATGATCTTGGTGGATCTGAAGAAAAACCCAGAATCCAAAAAGACGCGAATCATCGCAAATTAAGTGTAAACCCCTGCCAAAACATTAACAGTTGTTAATATACGTTACTTTCGTTAGCAAACCAGTTTTAAGCGCTTAAGAGTATATCACAACTCGTAACAATAGCTTTAAAAATCTTAATTTCTCCAAATTTACTTTTATAGTAACTGCGTAAGCCTATATCGTTTCTATGCACGTATATGTTACAAATATCATTTTGAACATAAGTTTTGGGCTATTTTGTTACCCTCACGTTGCACTTATTTCAAATCCACCTGGCCTGCGTACAGCACGCGCATCAATGACGTAACCGCGCGCGGTCACGTTTTATGCGTAAGCTGAAATAAATGAAATAAACTAGATAAAATGGCTTTTTTATATATCTGCTAATGTTTCGAGATTAATTTATAAAATAATTATCTCAGTTTTAACTGAATTTAAACCACATTTAAATTATTTTAAAATCCCTGCTAAAATAATAATAATAAAAATAGCTGTTTGCTGGTTTTAGCTGGTCGTCCAGGCTAGGCTTACCTGGTTATAGAGGGGTTTTGGCAATGCCTTCGCTCAGTTTTTACCAAACCTGTTCCTGGAGGGCCAGTGTCCTGCAGATTTTAGCTCCAACCCTAATCAACACAAACAAGCTAATCATGGTCTTATAGGTATACTTGAAACACCCAGGCAGGTGTGTTTCGGTTGGAGCTAAATCCTGAAGGGACACCGGCCCTCAAAGACCAAGAATCGTGACCTCTGCTTTAGCTGGTCAAGAAGATGGGAGACAAGCTAGACTGACCAGCAAAAAAAAGCATGACCAGTAGGGGAGACTACTATCAGTTTGAACAAGCAAAGAACAGCTTAGTTTTAGCTTGTTTTTTTCAGCAGGGAACTACATTCATTCATTCATTCATTCATTCATTTTCTTTTCTGCTTAGTCCCTTTATTAATCTGGGGTCACCACAGCGGAAAGAAACGCCAACTTATCCAGCATATGTTTTACGTAGCGGATGTCCTTCCAGCTGCAACCCATCACTGGGAAACATCCATACACACTCATTCACACACATACACTTCGAACAATTTAGCCTACCCAATTCGGGAACTCAAATATTTTATTATATATTTTAGCATTTGACCAGCTGCCATAAACATTTGGATCTCTGTAGCTGTCCTCTAAATGGTGAAGGATCTTTTAAGGTTACATCATAATTTAGAAGAAATGAAGACAACCATAAGAAACTAAATAACCGACAAAGACATACAAATGATGCACTCACAATACAATGAACAGGATGAAGTGCAGTTCTGGATTCAATTTACTTTCTACATCATCATCTGATAATAAGTAACCTCATTTACAGAATAGTTCATGTCATATTTGATCCTTTAAATGCAGTAGGGCTTTGTAGCTGCATAAGCATACTAAGCTAGCTATTTCTGCATTGCATTTAATTTGTAAATCAAACGTCAGATATTGGAATGTGGATACAGTTGACAAATTAAAACTGTGTTTTGAAATAACAAGTGCAAATTATGTCATTTCATTTTCATTTTGCACCAACCACTGCACAAATGGAATACGATCGCCTTACAGCAAGAAGGTCACTAGCTGGTTCAAGTGCTGGTTGGGTCAGTGTGGAGTTTGCTTGTTCTCTCTGTGTTTGCATGGGTTTCCTCCAGGTGCTCCGGTTTCCTCCACAAGTCCAAAGACATGCAGTACAGCTGAATTGGGTAAGCTAAATTGGCTGTAGTGTATGCGTGTGAATTCAATAGTGTATGGGTGTTTCCCAGTGTTGGGTCGCTGCTTGAAGGGCATCCGCTGTGTATAGCATATGCTGGTTAAGTTGGTGGTTCATTCCGCTGTGGCGACCCTTGATTAATAAAGGGACTAAGTTTAAAAGAAAATAAATGAATAAATCGTACATTCTGTGACTGTCACAGCGAATTCTGACAATCAAACAGCCTATAAATAATAAAAAATATAAACAGTAAAATATTTTAAAACTTTGAAGCCCTAAAAAAGTATAACCTACAAATATGTTACTCTGTTTCAAACTAGGAATATGCATGCATTTTGACTTAGATTTAGGTTAGTACACTAAAACAAAATTATGTCTGCAAAGTCGTCCCAAACAATTTATATGTGTGAAATTTAAACAAACAAATTAAATTTAGAAATGTTCATCTTGAATGTTTAAATTTTCAATGTTTACAACCACTTAATTTAAAAAGAAAAATTTGTGAATCTAATCTGTTGGGTTGTTGCTGGAAGGGCATCCGCTGCGTAAAACATATGCTGGATAAGATGGCGGTTCATTCCATTGTGGCAACACCCTGATTAATAATGGGACTAAGGTGAAAAAGAAAAGGAAAGAATGAATTGCACAAAAGGTCTTTAAAAATGGCAATTACAAAAAAACAGAAATACATTGCCAAGATATTGCATTGACATTAAGCTTATTACATTTAAAAATTTACTTTGCTACTCACACGATGTTGCATGTCTTAATAACTACTTTGTGATCACATGTTTTTTTTTTTCAAATTAAAATGTGTAAAAGCCAAGCTTTGATTTCATGTGTATTTCCAGCCTGATCTCACGAGAAAACGTAAGTATTTTACGTTTTGCCAGTTTAGTGGCTAATTCGTACGAATTCGTACGAGTTCAGTGATACGAAATGGTACGATTTTAAAAAGAAGGTGTGGCACCTGACCCCACCCCTAACCCCAACTGTCATTGGGGGATAAGCAAATCGTACTAAATTGTACGAATTAGATCGTACGAATTCATACGAATTAGCCACTAAATGAAAAAGTTACGAATTGCCGTGAGATTGTGTTGGTATTTCACAAGCGCCACATGTTTTTTTTGTTTTTTTTTGTCTTTAAAAGTCTACGTCTTGCCATTTATTATATTAAAAAATGAATTGGGGTAAATGCAAACAGACTTTTAATTTTTAGTCAGCCAGTCCACGACACACCATTACAAAATTTAAATTACCTCTTTTATGATCTGATTTCATTAAGAATTAGTGATCATAACTGACTGATTGATATACGATATAAAGTGGGTCTCAGAAAAAAAGCTCTGCAATCAATTCCATACCTTATAAAAATTCAGTTTTATTTTACCCCAGTTTTTCAGTGGAGTTTCTGCACTAGCCTGCTGCTACTGACAGAGCTAGCGTTTACACCAGGGGTCTTCAACTGCCAGCTCGGGGGTCTTTTCCAGCCCGCCCTCCTGCTCCCACTGGCCCGCAATTGATGTCAAAAATATAACAAGATTCGGCCCGCCAAAACAGCAACTTGTGACCATCTAGCCACTTAGTCGACATTTAAAGTGCATTCGGATTACTTTCATTTTCTCTCAGTGTACGGTCAAGAGTAACACACGTGTTTTATTTCTGTAGCTGATTTAAACCTTTAAAAATATGCCTGTAAGTACCCTATTTTTACTAAAGCTCTTTATTTGTAAATATTCAAGGGCGTTTGATTATTATCAGTTTTATACCACTTGTATTATGTTGTGCAAACACTTCTTCATGGCTTACACGTTATGCTGGTTGTGTAACAAATATGATAGTTTTGCTAATATTCGATTCAAATGGTCTCATTTAATAGATTTTCCTCATATGCTTATTAAGATTTGCATAAAACTAAGTACATTAGTGAAATTGTACTTTTCCCCTCTTTGTTGTAGTTTTACAAAAAGAAAGATATTGAGAAGAACAATTGCCATTACAGTTACCCAAACTGCCTTATGCTGTTCCTACGCTATTGAGACAATACAATTGGTTGGGACAGAATAATGATTATTATGCCTATTGGTTGTAGTATTTTCACAGCAGTTTAAACTCCCCCTTCAATATGTACAACAAGAAACAAAAAGCTAGAGTTTTAACTCTGTGGAAGAATGACTGAGTGTGTGTCTAAGGCTCGGCCATACACACAACAACCACAGATATTTGTCAGCAGCTGATGTGACATGATAAACATGCTGATTTGCATTATGACTGGTGACAGGTAATGCTTGAAATATTAACGTCAATGTCTGTTGTCCTAAGATTGCTCAATTATGTCAGGTTTCCACTTTTTTTCTTGTGCTTGAATGTTAAAACGGCCCTCCTATGGATTGTCAGTCACTAAAATGGCCCCTTGCCAATTTTAGTTTGAGATCCCTGGTTTACACAATCTTTCATCTCATTTTACGCTTGCTTAAGTCTATTTAACTGAATGTATATTAATTACATTACAACATCATTGCTGTAAAACAAGCCTCATGAAGTTGAAAATAGTCAGATAATTCAGTTTATCATTAGCTGTGGCTGTGCATATACCTCATTGTATTTATCAGAATTTGACTTTCCTTACCACTCATTTTCTCTCAGCCATTCTCTCCATCCTTGGCAATGCAGCGGTTCTGTTAACAGCAGCCTGGCGTCACAGCGTTCTCAAAGCTCCTGAACTCCTCACAGTCAATCTGGCTGTGACTGACATTGGCATGGCTCTCAGCATGTACCCACTTTCAATCGCCTCTGCTTTCAACCATGCGTGGATTGGTGGTGACCCGTCCTGTCTGTATTATGGCCTGATGGGTATGATTTTCAGCGTGGCCAGCATTATGACTCTTGCTGTCATGGGGTTGGTGAGATATCTTGTGACAGGAAACCCTCCAAAATCAGGTATGATATAAGTCAGATTCAAATGGCATCTCTGAGAAATATAAACATACTGTATTATCCGTTCAGAAATAAAGGTATAAGAGCTGTCACTGGACTGAGGTGGTACCTTCTCAAAAGATACATATTTGTGATCCAGGACCTGGGTTCCACAATTCCTTCGTGTTGTCCTAACATAAATTGTTTAAGTCAACGTAATTGTTTTCACAAATTCAATTCAATTCAATTCAGCCTTATTTGTATAGCGCTTTTACAATGTAAATTGTGTCAAAGCAGCTTCACATAAATGGTCATAGTAACTGGAACAGTGTAGTTCAGTTTTTAGTGTTTAAGTTCAGTTCAGTTCAGTTTAGCTCAGTTCAGTGTGATTTAATCATTACTGAGAGTTCAAACACTGAAGAGCAAATTCATCGATGCGTAGCTCTACCAATCCTGAACCATGCGAGCCAATGGCAACAGCGGAGAGGGAAAAAAACTTCACCAGATGTGAGTGAAGAAAAAAAAACAGACTCAGTTGGGCACGACCATTTTAATTTCTCCGCTGGCCAAAAGTCTTGTGCAGAGCTTCAGTCACCGCGGTGGAGGCTGGAAGATTCAAGTTGATTGAACATAAAACAATTATGTTGCCCCCAAAAAACCTTAAGAATTGTGTTGTTTCAACAAGCAGCAAAAGTCATTTTTTGAGTGTACAGTTGAAGTCAGAATTATTAGCCCCCCTGAATTATTAGCCCCTCTGTTTATTTTCCCCCAATTTCTGTTTAACAGAGAGAAGATTTTTTTCAACTCATTTCTAAACATAATAGTTTTAGTAACTCCTTTCTAATAAAGGATTTATTTTATCTTTGCCATGATGACAGTAAACAATATTTTACTAAATATTTTTCAAGACACTTCTATACAGCTCAAAGTGACATTTAAAGGCTTAACTAGGTTAATTAGGTTAACTAGGCAGGTTAGGGTAATTAGGCAAGTTATTGTATAACAGTGGTTTGTTCTGTAGACTATCGAAAAACAATTTAGCTTAAAGAGGCTAATAGTTTTGTCCCTGAAATGGTGTTTAAAAAATTAAAAACTGCTTTTATTCTAGCCAAAATAAAACAAATAAGACTTTTTCGAGAAGAAAAAATATTATCAGACATACTGTGAAAAATTCCGTTCTCTGTTAAACATCATTTGGAATATATTTTAAAAAGAAGAAAAAAAATGTAAGGGGGCTAATAATTCTGACTTCAACTGTATATTTTTGCAATAGGCAAAAATCTTTATCAGTCAAAATTATCGTTTTTTTCTTTCATGTCAAAAAATCTTTGGGATATTAAATAAAGATGTTCCACGGATACTGTATATTTTGTAAATTTCCTACTGTAAAAACTTCATTTTTAATTGCTAAGAACTTAATTTAGACAACTTTAAAGACAATTTTCTCCGTATTTTGATTGTTTGGACTCCAGATTTACACATGGTTGTATCTTAGTTTATATTGTCCCTTTTAAACAACAACTATTTTAGCCACACATCAATGTAAATATTATTTATTCAGCTTTCAGATAATGCACACATCTCAATTTCCAAATACCAGACACTTATGACTGCACTTTTAAATTACTATAAAATTCACAGTAACTTACTGGCAGTTTTGGTTGCCAGTCATTGTGCCAAAGCCGCTTTACACGGATAAACAGAAAAATAAGTCATATAACATCATTTCATTTTTGCCTGACATATTTAATATATTAGGTACACTTGACTTCCTCAATTATATAGAAGTAAATTATATAGAATATATTAAGTACACTTGTCCAACTAGGGGAATATTCAAGTAAAAATAAACTAGCCCTTTATTCATGGTTTTCTACACAATACATTTTAAGAAAACCATATAAGAGAATGAAATAGACAGTAATCACAGTAAAATCAAAATAAATTGATGAAACATCAGTGTCCTTGAGTGTTTCTGTTGTTTAATCAAGACAGCGGAATTGGCAGGAGGCCACAAATTATAGCATTGTCACCATAAATGCCAGGAAGTGGCAGAATTTAAATGCTGCCATTATGTCCTATGCAATTATGTCAGATTTTCAACTATAAAGAAAATCAGGCAAAGATGCGGATGTTGCTGCGACAAGTTTATTCTGGTTGTGACATAAATCTTATAGAAATGTGATAATAAAAAAAAAAAAATATGGATCATCGCTTGTGATTTTTCAGTCGAGCGTTGGACTAAATCCTGCATGCATCACCAAGAAGTTTTACCCACTTGAATATCAATAACATGCATGTAGATCACTGCAAGATAAAAGTCTGTAGTAAATGTAATTATAAATCATAACAAGCAATGCATAATAAGGAAAACAACATTTAACTGTAAACGTGACTTTATTCTTAGTGTTTTTCATTTAAAGCAAACATTAGCCTTTCAAAATTCTTTAAGGAAATCTTCATAGATAATGTAATTAGATGTATAAACTTCAATAAAGGCTAATTAGATGAATTATCTAAACCTTTTAAACATTTAAAGTACAGAAATTATATTTGGCCAATAGTTTACCCAATTTATTAGTGGTTTAAGCTTAGGATATGTTCTGTATGTGATATGTAGACAACTGTATGTACTTTCTAAAGGGGTTATTCGTTTGCAAGCAAACCTTGACTACAGATTAGCTCTTGAAATACAAGATCATTTCCTTTAAAATCTTCAATGAGGCATGAAAAGGTCATCGGAGAATGTAGACAGGCATATTGATGGTTCATCTTTGCTTGAGTGATCTATTTAAACACCCAATGGTTTCCCAATGTGAGACTTTATGTTTACTGTTTGCTTTTCAAATAATTACCAATCTGAAGCTGATATCTACCTTCAGACATACAGTACACTTGAAAAGAAAACTGGTTTATTGGCATTGGTATTTTTTGCTTGAGACACTGAGTTTTCAGGCTAAAATCTATGTTAAAGAGATAGTTTTTGAGATAAGTATAGTGTATATAAAGAATATAAAGAAGATATTTTGAAGAATGTTGGAAACTTGTAACCATTGTCTTCCATAGTATTTGCTTTTCCTACTATGCATGTCAATGGTTACCGGTTTCCAACATTTTTATTATACAATTGAAGTCAGATTGATTAGCCCTCCAGTCTATTAGTCCCCTGTATATTTTATTCTGTATATTCAATTTCTGTTTAATGGAAAGAAGTGGAATATATTTTTCAAGATAATATTCAGCTTAAACTGCAATTTAAAGGCTTAACTAGGTTAATTAGTGTCATTAGGCAAGTCATTGTATAACGATGTTTTTTTTTCTGTAAACAATCAAAAATATATTGCTTAAGGGGGCTAATAATTTTGACCTTAAAATGGTTTTAAAAAATTAAAAACTGCTTTTATCCTGGCCAAAATAAAACAAAGACTTTCCCCAGAAGAAAAAATATTATAGGAAATACTGTGAAAATTTCCTTGCTCTGTTAACATTTGGAAAATATATAAAAAAGAAAAACAGGAGGGCTAATACTTTTGATTTAACAATATTTTTTATGTTCAAGTATGAATAAACGATGACAGAATTGTACTTTTAAGACCTTCATATTTGCTGTAAATTCATTCCTGTAATGAAAAACAGCATCTAACGACATTTTCTGTCTATCTGTTGCAGGCAGCAAGTTTCGAAGAAAAACTATAAGTATATTGATTGGTGTCATCTGGATGTATTCACTGCTGTGGGCTGTTTTTCCTATTCTGGGATGGGGAGGATATGGGCCAGAACCCTTCGGATTGGCCTGCTCTGTGGATTGGATGGGATACCAGCACTCTTTAAACCGCTCTTCATTCATTATGGCTTTAGCCATTCTGTGCACCCTCATGCCATGTGTGGTCATCCTGTTCTCTTATAGTGGCATCGCCTGGAAGCTCCACAAGGCTTATCAGTCCATCCAGAGCAATGATAACCTGCCCAACTCAGGGGCCGTCGAGAGAAAAGTCACCCTGGTAAGGGTATTGTATATGTATATATATATATATATATATATATATATATATATATATATATATTTATTTTTTTTTTTATGTGTGCATGTAAAGCAATTTGTTTAAAAAAGTTATTGGGTTCTTCTCTATAGAAGCTCTAACTCCACCCCATTTAGAGCGTCATTATGGATGTTTTACGCTATAACTAACATGGTTCAAATGATGGATCTGTGACAGAAAAAGTACTGTTTTGGAAAACACTTGTCACTATATCACACTTTTCCCAAACAATGCGTCATACTATGAAAATGCAGCCACGAGTTATGTCATTCACTGTTAGACCTTACCAGGCTTTTTTACAGTAGAATACTGGCAACACTGTTGCCAGCTAATTACTGTAATGGTTTGGTTACAGTGACTAACTAGTAACAGTGTTGCCAGTGAATTACTGTAATAGATTAGTAGCGGTAACAACTGGATACTGCTTACAGTAAATTACTGTACTGTAGTGTTACAACTCACAGCATTACTGCATACACAATAATAGTATGTCATATATATAGTTATTATTAGTTATTTATTATTTGTACAACACAATTTCATACAAATCCTGCTTGTTTTACAGTAAAATACTATTTCCTATTATCACAGTAAAATTCTGGCTATTTTACAGTTATCTACTACATAATCTACAGTAAGGGTTACCAGTGTTGTTTGGGAAACACATCCCTGATTGGCTATTTTTAGTACTACTAATGAAATCAAGTCATTTTAAGATAGCAAACCACACAATGTGAGTTTCAGGCCTCGTTTACACTAATACATTTTAGTTTTTAAATGCATACGTTTTGCTATGGTTACGCCATCCGTCCACACTACCCCAGAGCTTTTGAACCCCAAAATCGGAGTGTTTTGGAAACGCAGAGGAGGCCTTTTTGGTCTTTATGCTGCTGCTGCTGCGTGTGAGTATGGATGTGGGAAAACGGAGACATCTGAAAACGGAGGCATGCAGACATGCACCTAATTGCTTGGGGCTTGTTCTCAATATTAAGTGCACAAAGTTCAGTCTTGTATCCATTCCTTGTAAGCTCAGACTTCACAAGTTTAATACAGACGAGAAACTCCTGAGGAAACGTCGGGTACAGCTTCAAAAAGAACACTGTACTTTTTATAACTTGATTCACATCACCCTGCAGGCTACGTTGTTTCACTGTCTTAAAAATTTATAGAAAACATGATATAAGGAGCTGCCTATTTTTATTTTGATATTAACAACATAACAGACACCAAAAATTTTGAGGTGTCATGTAGCTACATATTTATATGACCGTCATCTTCACTGTAATGGAGCATATACAGTAACATAACTGCATCCTTTCATTATTAATGTTAAATACGAACATACCCTCACTTTTTTTTTTTTTGCTAAATATCAGTTTTAATAATCAATAATGGCCATTATAAAAGTATAACATGAAATATGTCTATACAAGAAAATAAAGGCAAGCAATCAGTGGTTCCATAAATTAATATATTAACTTATATTTGCTCTTAGACAAAACATGTTACCTGAGAAAGTAATATATTCTATATATAAATATATTCTATATATAAATATATAAATAAAATTAATAAACAAAAACATGTTTATTTTAAATTCCTAGTTTTTCCCAATCCGAAACGCTTGTAAAGACTTGAATTATTACAAAACAAGATGGAGATTTCATTGCAGGGTACTTTATTTATATTCTCCTGGATTTTGTATAAGTGTGGTGGTGTTTGCATCTGATTTTATTTTTAGTGGTGCTGTCAAACGAATTATCGTGTACAAAAAATGTTTAGTACACATGGATGTATTGAATAAATGTTTATTACAGGGGTTTTTCTTCCATTTTTCAGCCAGTTTCTTGAACTTTCTCCCATTTATAAGCAAAACCTTTTGGAAGTCTATTAAAGCTGTTTGGCATTTCTTATTTTGGCTGATTTAAACAATTATAAACAACATAAAACAAACATTTTGATATTCTAATAGCGATTCCTACATAGAAGAATAATTTCCTGCCCTCTAACTTAGTCTCATTGACGTCATGTAAAAACAACGTCTGATTTTCCCAATATTGTGCAGCCCTAATTTTCATTTGTATTGCTTTGTGCTTTTTCCACCTTTTCTGTATTAGATCTCCTTGTTTATTTGTAATCAAAAGTCTGCTATATCATGCAAAAAAAAATAAGTTCTGTCAAAAGTTGCCATTATAATGCATTGTGCTGAGATTTGCCAGCACTATAAACACAACTGACACTGTAAAAACAGTGATCTGGCCCTTTAAGTGTTGAACGTTCTGGGTCACACTTTTAGCAAACCCTAAAGGTTTCACACGTCTGCTGAAAAACTCTATCCTGGTACAGTGACAGACGCTGTTTCACACCCCAGATCCATCTTTTGATCACAACAAAGTTGTTTGTCTCAGTTGGTTTTAAACTATAAAACTAAAAGGAACATTTTACTGACAAAAATGATAGAAGTGGGTAAAGGTCAAGCACTATTCAACACGTAAAGGTCACTAATGGGTGTAAACAGGTTCTAAGAAATAGCCCCATGTAATTTTCCAGGAATATACAGTATATTTAAAGGCTAAAAATGTTTCATAATTGTATAATCCCTCCTGGATATAAGGGCAAAATGGTAATGGGGTGTTTCTGAAAAAATTTCTCCTGAACCTGCCAGATATGATATTTAAGCATAATCAGTGTTGTTCATATAGCTTAATTATTAAATTGTGCATGCGGAACCATCACTTTAGATTAATGCATTAGTGCCCTTTCCTCCAGACTCCAGCAGCGGTGGCCTGTCCAACATGAATCACTTTAAACGCTTTCCGCTGTCAGCTCAAGTTTCCCTTTTGTGTTTCAGATGGGCATCCTGATCAGCACTGGCTTTATTGTGTCCTGGGCGCCCTATGTGTTCGTCAGTCTCTGGACCATGTTTCGCTCCGAGGGAGAAGACAGCGTGGTGCCAATCGTCAGCTTGCTTCCCTGCCTCTTCGCAAAGTGCTCAACGGTGTACAACCCTTTGGTCTACTATGTTTTCCGCAAATCTTTCCGCAGAGAGATACATCAGATCCGGATATGTTGTTTTCAAGGTTGCTGGGATGCTGTGAGCAAAATGACAAGAGGAGATGGTCCAGAGGAAACTAGCGGGACACATGAGACAGATAATATTTGAACCCGAGTGGTTCACCAATAACAAAGTTCCTTTCTAGGATAGTCTATTAACATGACAGCCAAATTTTGTATTGATTCCGGGCAGTTTATCCAAGACCAAAGTCCTAGCAAAATAAATAGGGTTATCCTGAACACTCAGAATATTTCGAATTAGTGGCAAAATCTAAAGTGACCTGTCCTTTTATTGCTGTTGCTTTTGTACAAATTACATTTTAGGAGGCCTTTTAGTTTGTCCAGCTCACTCCTCTGACCTCTAGAGGTGCTCTAGCAACAGACACTAGAGGCCATGGTCTTTAGCCATCAATCAACTCCCATGCAGACAGTGGCTTGTTCGATCCCAGCTTGGAGCAGGTTGATTGGTGTAGGACTGGCGGAGTTACATTGGTGGCAGGACCCAGATGGGAGTGAGATTTAGGGGGGGTGAGTTTAACAGAGACCAGCTAGTGAAGGGCTTTGCAGGTAAAACCTTACTCAATTGAACCCGAAAAGGCGCTCTAGCTACATACAATGAAGCCCATGGTCTATAGCCTCCTTGTTAGAGCAACCGACTCCCATTCAAAGATTTGCTGATTCGATCCCCGCAAAATCATTCTCTGATCTGCAACAAAACAATCGCTCCAAGATCGTGAGTATGAGGTGGTCTCGGCGCAGTTGAAACAAACTCTGAAGCGGTTCAGTTGTAATGAGAAAGCAATACAATCCAACAAACTAACAAACCAGCCTATTTCACTGTGTACTATGGACATGTAATAGGCACACATACGGCTATAAGCAGAGAGAAAGATGAGTAGACCAGTAAAAGTGTGCTTCATGTCAAATACAAAAGTGAAAGTAAGTGAACTATTTAAAAACGTATAATATCATGAACTTTTTTTTTTGGTTAACAAGATGTCTAATATATAATCAATACAATACAACATAGGCTCATTCTGGAAACGTAGCCCTATATACTTTTCTGGAGATCGCAAATTATGTAGCCAGAAGTATATGTATGGCTGCATTTCGTCTTTAAACCAAATGCTACGAGGTGGTATGACGCCGCCCCTTTTCGCGCTTACCAGCTGACCACTTACCTCCGTGTGGACAACTTTCTTGCTGTTACAATTTGTCCAGTTTGCTCGTGATGTACATGCAGACTTGCGACACAGAGAGGAGTTGACAAAGACAATGAGTTTGAGTCTTAAAAAATGGTTCCAGAAAGCGGGTAGGAGAAAAACAGAAGCCAAAAAATAAAATGAACAACTAAATAACAAGGTGAGAATGTGGTAAAATCTGAAAACGTGATAAAAATCAGATGGGGGCTTTTCTTTTTCTGGATTGCTTTTGAAAACACTGTTGGTTGGGTTAAGGGAAGGAGGAGGGTGGCTAAGTCGATTAATCAATCAGTCAGTTGACATCGGCCTCTGGTCGATTCACGTAAACAAAAGCTGCAAAAAATTTTGTTCTTGGGACGTATTTGGCGCTCAAATGTATATGGTTGTGCATTTTCAGAATGAGCCTGGGTTGAATATATATTTTACAAATCTTGACAACTGAAATGAAGCTCTGGATGAGAAGTTCTCACCTCTTATTTATATTTGGTGATGTTATTTATATTTGGTGTCTATGGATGTCACCATTCGAAATGAAAGCACACCTTTTGCTTACTGTCTCATTTCTTATTGGCATAAATTAAAATAGCAACGTATGACAGCTGATCAAGCAGAATCCTAAAAAATACACAAACCTAAAGAGAATTTACGTGCCCGTGACTTTCTGTAACTACTTAGTAAGTTTTAACAATTTTGGTCCATTAAAGGGTCACGAAACACCAAAACACATTTTTTGAGCTGTTGACAGTCGTATATGTGTCCCACACTGCTATAAACACTATTAGGACGCCTATATTTCACTAAAAAGTGTAAATTGGTTGTTTTTGTGGTTGTTTTTAATAGCGTGTATTCCAGCATACAGACTGGGCGTCTGTGCCAGAGTGAGTCTTATTACGTCTTACAGTGTGATGCATTAATGCATGAGTAAAGCTTGGTTCAAACCAATCAGCGAGCTCTATTGTGCAACTTCATTAATATTCATTAGTGTCACAGTGTTTTCACGACAGAGACGCCACGTTGTGTTGGCAAAACAAGCGTGAAGTGTTGCTTTTATAGTTTGCTGCCGTTAAGTTTTGTTTTCATTTTCTCTCTGTGAGAGCGCAGCTGGCGTCACGTATGGATTAACAGTGTACGCGACGCTCGACAACAATAACTTACGTGTCTAAGGAGGATTATTGTTTACCTGAGAGCTGTTCTCATCTCCAAACACTGAGATCTGGATTCGCTTGTAGTATTCTCTTCATAAAGACGCGGCTCTAGTTACTGGTGATTGTCCCGTCTCTACAGATTTGGTAAGTGAGCGACCAGTACTATTTGTTAATTCAGTTTGCTCGTATCGAACTAAGTTAACTATTGCACCGAGTGTAAACACGTTAGCACCACAACCAAACTTTAACCTCGTGTAGGGTTTTTACCGCATTTAGTGACCGGAATAACACACGCGGCTTTCTGACGCTACCTGCCGTGTGCATCTAAGTTTCCGGGAAATGCGGAGGTTTATTTTCTCTCATTCGCCGTGCGGTATCAAACATTGCATGAAAAATACACGCTTAGAGCAGTTCCTCAAATCAAATATCTTGTTTGTCGCGAGGGGCATGAATGAATTCCCTGAATGAAAGAGCCAAACTGCAGTTAAAGTCCAACATTTAATAATTTGGCAAATAATTAGACTACAGATGTCCATGTAGGTTAAACACCATCACTTTCTCCTGTCTGTGTATTTTGACTCTGAAACTCGCGCGTGCCCAAATAGACACTCCCACACCCTCCCACTTTAGTTCCTCCGACACTCTCCCCTAAACAGAGCTGGACACGCCCACTTTTCTGACTTTTTCCAAAGTAGAGGTGTGAAAACACCCTGCTGAAACGAGGGGGTTTCATGGCCCTTTAAGAAACTTTATTGTGTAAAAGGGAACTACACCAAGAACAAAACGACAACATTGTAACAATTGTAATCCCTGTTTCATAACAAAACAATCGATTTAGAGGGGTGAAAACACCCTAAAACATGTTAATTACAATTTGCTATCCATGCACAAAGACTGGCATGACACCAATCTCCTTTACAGCTGTTTCAATGGAAACCAAAAGACACAGTTATAATCACTGGAAGAACGGAGACAAGACTAACAGGACACGAGAAGTCTTCTCCTGTCAAAAACAGCGCAGGCACACAGTGGTTGCCAAAACACAGAAATTGCCGCAAAACATAAGCGAATCTGTACAGACCCCTGCCCCCAAAGAACCTCATGGACTGACGATTTGCTATTTTGACTGAATATTAAGCAATGCACTTTTCCCCATTCATCGAATTGCGAATGACCTACATGTATATGTATTGTCTTTGGTCAATAGTGCACTCATCGGTCACTTTATGCACTTACCGGCCACTTTATTAGATACAGTACGCCTGTTCATTAACTATTCATAATCAAATTTATAATCATCATCAGCTAAACAGCAGGATAGGCAGGAAGAATCTGCTTAAGTTCAACCCAAGTTCCAAAAAGGTGATTATGTGACTTTAAAAACCAGGACACATCAAGCCAATGGTTGACCATTGAGCTTTGTCAGGCCATCTGTCAGTGCCGGTTAGGCTAATTGGTTTGGTTTAATTTTGTCTCAGGTTAACTTTGGATCGAGTTTGCTCGATTCAGCATGTAGAATTGGGGTCAGCCATCAGCTGAAGAGAGAACTCTAATTGGTTATTCAGCAACAAAGAGCACGAGAACAAAAACTGAAGTGACTTACCCAAGCAAACAATTCAAGTCAAGAAGGAACACACAAAAACCGCCTGTAATTTCACTGCATTTATCTTGATCTTATTTGCAAATTATATGGATTATTAGATTATCACGCATGTTGCATGTATGAATCCCCCCACGGTGAGTTACAATTACTGTGATATTGGCATTAAATCTTTGCTTTTAAAGCTTTGTTTATAGTTTGTGTGTGCATTTCAGAAGTTCCGGTTTCTCTTTGTGGAATGAGAAAACCGCGGAAAGACACATCCACTCACACAGGCACAGAAAGCATGCTCTTGTTTCAGTCTGGTGCCAGTTTGGTGTGTTCATGTGCAGCTTTTTGCTCTAAAAGCAGGTTGACAACAGTTGTTTTTTTTGCACTAGTTGTTTGACGCAGTGGGGCAGTAGGTAGTGCTGTCGCCTCACAGCAAGAAGCTCGCTGGTTCGATCCTCGGCTCAGTTGGCCTTTCTGTGTGGTGTTTGCATGTTCTCCCTGCATTCGCGTGGGTTTCCTCCGCGTGCTCCGGTTTCCTTCACAGTCTAAAGACATGCGGTACAGGTGAACCAGGTAGGCTAAATTGTTCGTAGTGTTAGAGTGTGTGTGGATGTTTGCTAGACATGGGTTGCGGCTGGAAGGGCATCCGCTGTGTAAAAATGTGTTGGATAAGTTGGCGGTTTATTCCGCTGTGGCGACCCCGGATTAACAAAGAGACTGAGCCAACAAGAAAATGAATGAATGAATGAATGAATGTTTGACATCAACTTGATGTATCCTAGTGCAAGACAGCTGACCCAGGTACAGAAATTGCTGATCTGTTGGGAATTTCATGCATGACCATGTCAGAATGGCTTGAAAAAGAGAAAGTGTTCAGTGAGGTACACCCTTACCTGACAAAAGTCTTGTTGCCTATACAGGTTTTAGGAACAACAAATAATAACTTGACTTCTAGTTGATCATTTAGTATTAGAAGAGGCTTATACAGTATAAAAGGCAAAGGCCTCTAAACTACGATTATTTTACCAAAGTAAAATATGATCATGTCTTGATTTTTAATGATTTAATTAGGACTGTACGGTCTGACTTTGCTTTGCTGACTGAAAAAGTTGTCACTTAACAGTCCACTAAAGAATATGAAGTCATGCTGCAGTGGAAAAAGAACTTCCAT